GTCCTCTCGTAGGCGGCGTCGATGCGAGGTGGCAGGCCTTTCCAGAACTGATCGATCTGCATGGGGTAGCCCTCCTGCACCTTGTTGTTCCTGAGACGCCAAAACCACCGGTCCTAAAAAAGCCCCAAAATTCATCACTGCAGAGCGCTGTGCTAAAACGGCGGCAACGTCCCGAACTCCATAATTAGACAAGCGTGAGAAGGAGTTACAGGTGACCTGAGGAGACTCTGAGTCATGCAGCTGGTCATAAAGGACGGTGAGAGGAGATGAAAACTGGCAGAGATAAAGAAGATGTGTCCTTAGTGACGGTACAACAGTGAAGTCCTCCAGCAGAACCAGAAGTGCTTAATGTGTAACAGCTGAAGCACAACAATTATTATCAAATATTCTCATCGTTAACAAAGTTGGCTTAATTTTTTTTATCTGGAGCTTTTGTGGAGAATGTGTTTAAATGTTTTCAACAAAAGAGAGAAGCTCAGAACGACAACAGAAACCGTTGTGAAGGCGAGAGGAGAAGAAATAACTGGAACAAAAGACGAGCAAAGACGAGACAGAGACTGAGATGTGAAAGAAATGATTATGCAAGTTAAGAGGAGGACTACAGGGAGGAGAGGCAGCAGGAAAGAGATGTACAAAGGAGGAGAGGAGGCGAGCATAGAGGAGAGAGGGGAGCTGAAGAGGAGGAGAAGAAGGCGAGCATCAATCTGAGCTCATTATCATTTGGCTTTCGTGAATCTAGGACACAGCCAAGCTAAGTCCCCCCGCTGAATGATGTGCACGCACACACACGCACACACACACACACACACACACACGCTTGTGCTTCTATTTTTGTGGGGACTCTCAGTGCTTTTCCACAGAGGAACAGCCTAAAAATGTCCTCGCTTTCTATAAATGTCAGTATAAGTCGGGTGCACGCGCACGCGCGCTGCTTCTTGCCTGGCCTAACATCATCGAGTGGACGCTAATGCTTTTCTGTCTGAACCCAAACAGAGAAGAAAAATCAATGCTTTGCATTCAGCAAAGAAGCCATGAGTGCCTCTCACAGAGGAAACATCCCATAATGAGCGTCTCCTTTTAGACGCCCACCAGCTCTCGCTGCTCTTTATGTCCTCGCGTGCCCCCGTCCTCCAGTTAAAAGGAGACAAAAGATGCTTGTTTTCCTGACTGATGATGGTGCATTCAGGGACCCAGCGTTCTTCCCTGGAAACGGTGGCTTCGTTTTTAACTATTATTGATATTTATTGGATGCTTATCTGTGTCATTCAGGGGCACACGAGAAAAGCTTTGTTTTGTTTATTACATGTTAGTGCCGCCATCTGTTTTGTAGGTGGCATCAACTTTATTTGTCAAAGGAAAACCAAAATGAGCTTTGTGGGTTTGTTAGGAGAAACTTGAGTTTTTAAAGTGGCCCAATTTTGTGTTTCTTTGTTTCCTGTCATATTTCTCCTGTTTAGTGGTGGGTGTTCATATTAAAGAGGTTTCTAATAATAGATGCAATCCCAGTGAGCTGTTAAACACTCAGTTTAACCCTGCTTTTGAAACTCTTGAGCCTGTATGATATTACAGAGAGGACACATCCAACATAGTCATCTCAGGTGCAGAAGCTCCGCCTACCCGCCTTGTGTTTTTAAAAGGAAGCCGATCAGAATACGACAGCATACATTAGTAATACTTTAAATTTCTGACTGAGTTTGACTCAAGAATCCATGCTGGCTGCTGATCTAGCAGCCACAGCGATCCTGTTTTAAGTGATGATTGAAGATTTTCTCCTGTTTTTGTCACAATGGGAATGAATCCGGCAGAGCAGACGCAGACAGACAGGTCCAGCTGAGACTGACAGAAAACAGAGACACTCACTGACAGGCAGGAAGGACAGAGAGCCAGACGAGTCTGTGACCTTTTCGAACATTCAGTTTAAATATCAAAGACA